AAAGTCCTTCCTCGAGTTTCAGACACCTGTATGGCTTGAGCCAGCCCTCTGTCCTCTTCCTTGCTCATTCTACTCTGGCCACTCTGGCCCCCAGCAACTTATAGAGCCTACCAGGCATGCTCCACCTTCAGGGATTTGCTTTCAATCCTCTCTTCAACAATCCAGAGAGCTCAGACCTCTGTTGAAATACCCCCAGGTTTCCTTATACATCCTCTCTAAATTAACCACCCCCTTACAACTATTACCCTTTGCCTTAATTTGTTATTTTCTTCAGAGCATTTTTCGTGTTTCATTTATCTTCTTATTGAATGACCATTTCCCCACATTTGAATCAAACCCTATGAGGGGAGAAGGCTGTGTAAGCCAAGTATTCACTGCTGTGCCACTGTCAGAGAAGCAATCTCAGCACAAAGCAGTCCTCAATAAGATCTTGTTGGATATGAGAGGATAGTATGAAAGAACAATAAAAGTGTATTTCTTCCCAGCGACCATTAGAACAGCAGAAGGCAAGGCTGTGCTAGTTCAGGTGTGCCCACTTCAAGCTAGCAGTAGAAAGATGAAAGGGAAAGAAAGCAAAGACAGTGAATACAGAAGATTGAAACAGCTTTGTAAACATGATTTCTTAATGCCAGCATCCAGGCAGGTGTGATACAGCCTTGCCAGCTAAATAATCCTTCAATCATCAACCTGTTTGCAGAAGATAACACCTGTGTTATCAGCCCAGACTGATTCAGTTATACAACCAAAACAGACTTCAGGACTGCTGGACTGTTGGGCTCCACAAAGCTATCCAGGGGCCCAGCATATATCCATCTTCTTTTATTGTTCTTCTTTCACCGTCCCCGGAATGGTCTCTTTTACGGAATCGTTGATGCTCTCATCATTGATACAAGACAGTGGAAGCAGAGGAATTTGGGGATAAAAAACTTCCTTTTAAGGAATGATGCAAAATCTTGATCTAGCCCTTAGATTACCATGTACCCATGTTTAAGTTCACAAAAGACTAGAAAATGAGACCTTCTCTGGGTGGCCATGTTCTCTGCTGAAATGCTGTATAGGGACATCTATTCTAGAACAAGGGATACTGGGTACATTGAGAGAGCTGGCAGTCTCTGCTTCATGGGTGATTTATTTGAATGCTCCAGGGACAACCCGTTTTGTTTGACACTGTGTAAGGCTCTAGAGTAGATAACTGAGACACCTTCAAGTCACTGTGACATAGCATAGACACACAGTAAAACATTAGACAGACTATGAGACCCATAATGCAACTTTTGCTGGATTATCTGGTTCAAAGTGGAAATATCAGGAGTCTCAGAAATGAAGTTGCTTTGAGACAGGGAAGGGAATAGAAGAAGAGCATTTCCTGAAGCAAAGGAATAGACAAGAGAAAGTCGACAGCAAGACGTAGGACCTGGTTTAGCTCCAGCATAAAGGAAGATGTGGGAGAAGAGGCTGAGGACTTTTCATCTGGCCTGGGAATTAACAGCAGATTTTGTGATAGGATCAGAGTTGGATGCACAAAGACCATCAGTGAATACGGAGTGAGTAGGAGTAGCACAGACTGAATGTAGGGGGACCAGATGGATGGTCAGAGGGTTTCTTTTCTTTTACTTTTAATTATTTATTATCAACAAGTGGCTGGAGTTACAATTTAACATGTCCATTTATGTGCACAGTGCATCTTGAGCAGCATCAACTCTTCCAGTATTTTCCCTCCTTCCTCTTATCCCTTCCTCCACCATCAGGTCAAGTTTCCCACTTCCTTATATACATTGAATACTATGATTGTATTTGTGTACTGTTTCCTTTACCATCATCTTCCCTCATTCCATGATCCCCCTCCCACCCACCTCCCACCCCCCACTTCCAAAACATGTTTTGACTTCTTGATATTCATTGCATTAAACCATCTGCTACCTGGGCACCAGTGGCTCATGTCTGTGATCCTAGCTACTCAGGAGGCTGAGATCTGAGGATCACAGTTCAAAGCCAGCCCAAGCAGGAAAGTTCCCATGACACTCTTATCTCCAATTAACCACCAGAAAACCAGAAGTGGTGCTGTGGCTCAAGTGGTAGAGTGTTAGCCTTGAGCTAAAGATTTCAGGGACAGCGCCCAGGCCCAGAGTTCAAGTCCCATGACTGACCAAAAAAACAAAAAACAAAAAACTCTAGTTGTTATTCAAAGTTATTTACACTACAAAGTTAGTTATTCAAAGGATTTACACCAAACACAAAGGAGTTTCACTTATGCTTTAGTCAACTTGATTGCATGGGACATTGTAGAGAGGTGTGTGTGTGTGTGTGTGTGTGTGTGTGTGTGTGTGTGTGTGTGTGTGTGTGTGTGTGTGTGTGTGTACTTAAGCTCAGGGCCTGGCTGTCTCTTAGCTTTTTTTTTTTTTTTGCTAGCACTCTAGTCTAGCATTCTGTCACTTGAGCCACAGCTGCACTCAGAGTTTTTTTTAATAAGACAGTTTTAGAGTAAAAAAAAAAAATCAAAACCTCTAAAATCACTTGGGTCAAATACCAAACTGAGTTACATATTATTGATACATGTTTATCATTTATGTCTGGCATGGTTAGGGTGGTGACTCAAACTTTTCTATGTACAGGAAGAAAAGAAGTTTCTTCCCCTCAGCACATTTTCACAAGTATTCGGAAACAATGGTCATATAAAGCAACAATGAGGCCAAGGCATTCTCTTTTTGTACTCTTTTTCTTCTTAATTCTAGACTAAGCTCCTAGATTTATTTATTCTTTAAGAAAACATTTCTTGTAAGAGGAAGGCAGAAGGTTGGGCTGCATTTGAGGGATATTTTCCTTCTTTGGTTTTGATAAAAATACTAAATATGAATTAAATATTTATATCTCTCCCTCACCCCAAGGAAGAAAATATTTCTTTAAGCAACATTTGGAAAGATGAAGGAATACAGAATAAGGGCTAATTCTTCAGTTACATCTGTTACTAAAAGGCACAAATAAATAACCACAAGACAATATAAGACCTGGAAGGATCAAAAAAGTTACTGTATCTTAATCCTTCATGCAGTCAGTAAGAAAATGAAACATAACAATATTTACAAACTTGAGAGCACAAAGCAAGGGGATACTGCAGATGCACCACCAGCAGAGACTCTTGGAGGCATCCAAGTCTGTGAGGCATTGAGTTTTGTCTAAAAAAGCAGGATGATGTAAATTATGATATGTTATTTTAATTTAGTTTAGTTTGGATTGATCAAATAATGCTTTTAAATATAAATGTCATTCAGAAGTTCTATTCATAGCATAACTTCAGTATTTCTTTACATATTCACTTATAAGCTGTTTTCAGTAGTAGGGACTAGCAATGAGACATATTTAAAGTTGTATGAATAGTTTATTCCAGTCAAATCAGTGGACCTCAGTGAGTAAATTATCTCTCCTTTGGAGAGAATTTAAGCCTGGAACTGGTGGCTCACACCTGTAATCTTAGCAGTTCAAAGTCAACTCAGTCAAGAAAGTCTGTGAAGCTCTTATCTCAAAGTAATCATCAAAAACTCAGAAGTGGAACTGTGGTAGAGCACCAGCCTTGAGAAATAAAGCTTAAGTAACAGTGCCCAGGCTCTGAGTTTAAGCTCCATTCCTAGCATACACACACAAAGTAGACATTTAAGGCCATTAGGCCTTTTAGGAAAAGCACTGGTCAAATGGATCAACTACTCCACCCTTAACCCAAATCTCCATCCACAGAAGACAGGGATGTCTGGATCTTCACTGGTACCCACTGTCCTAGAATGAGATCCACTCCTTTAAAGATTTTGTGTTGTTCTGAGTCACATTGTTCTTTGTTTTCTTGTTATGGGACCATCAGACATATCAGGTTATGGCTTGAATGTAGCTGTTGAATAAGTATAGAACCAGATATTTGATACACATACCTTATTAAGCTTTTTCAATATTTTCTCACCTCAATTGTTTTTTACTTAGAAAAATAATATTAAGATGTTCTAACACTTTAAAATGTTATCAGTAAGTAGTGTCAAAACTTTCCATTAGAGGCTGGGAAGATGACTCAGTGGTAGAGCGCTTGCCTTGCATGCATGAGGCCCTGGGTTCCATTCCTCAGCACCACATAAGCAGAAAAAGCCAGAAGTGGCACTGTGGTTCAAGTGGTAGAGTGCTAGCCTTGAGATGAAGGCCCAAAGTTCAGGCCCCACAACCAACCAAAAAAAAAAAAAAACAACTTCCATTTAATAATCCATGTCACCATCTACCATTCTCAACTGTTTCTATTTCTAAGCCATTGTTCAAGTAAAGCATGTAAAGCTACTCAATAAGAAAAAGAGTATTGTGTAGTGGAACTGCAGCCAAAATAGGATTATTTTACTCATGCTTGTAAAGAATAGTCGTAAAAATTATGTGAGTCACATTCTGACATTATAATTTTGTGCAAATTATGATGTAATATTAGTGTTTGTTAAAATGTTAAAGACAGATAGAGATATATGTATACATAAATACTACTATACGCTATTAAATAATATTAAATAAAATATAACTATTTTATAAAACAGATAAATTGAATATTTCTGCTTAGGCAATATGCCAAAATTTCTATTAAAAAAATAGACACCAAGCACTGGTAGCTCATGCCTATAATCCTAGCTACTCAGGAGGCTGAGATCTGAGGAGCGGTTCAAAGCCAGCTTGGGCAGGAAAGTCTGGGAGACTCTTATCTCTTATTAACTACCGTAAAACCAGAAATGGAACTGTGGCTTAAAGTGATGAAGTGCTATCCTTGAATAAAAGAGCTAAGGGACAGTGCCCAGGCATTGAGTCTAGCCCCACAACTGACCAAAAACAAAATACAGAGAGAGAGAGAAAGTTTCTGTAATATGTAAGAAAATAAGATTATTGCTTTCAGCTTATTTTATATTGTATTTGTTAACATTGTAATGACTGAGTTTCTCTCTCTCTCTCTCTCTCTCTCTCTCTCTCTCTTTCTCTTTTAAAACCCACAGACGTCTTGCTGGAAATGCTTTAACATACATTCCCAAGGGAGCATTCGCTGGCCTTTACAGTCTTAAAGTTCTGTAAGTAAACTGGATATTAATTGGGTGTATTTCTGATTTTAATGTCAGTTATCTTCTAATTAACTTGTAAATATTGAGGCCCTTTAATAAACTGTTAAATCCTTGAGATAATTCATTTAAATAAGAGTCTACCTGCCTGATACTGTTGGACGATTTACAACTGGCAAGATTAATATATGAAAAAAATCATCTTCCCTTTTTTTTAACTTTAAGATCTAAAGTAGACCACCTCTAAATAACTACCTTACAAACCAGAACTTTTGAAAAAAATGTTTCTGTTTCACTTCATGTTATAAAGTTGGGAGCATGTTGTGAATAATTTTGATCGCTGAGTATATAAATCACTATAATGAAGACATTGTAAGACCACAGCATCAAGTCAGTTTTGAAGTTTGTTTCCTTCTGATGCAATGCTAAGTAACTCTTAATACTGGCCTTGTGTTCTACTTAAGGATAGATACGGAGCAGCCTAAGGCTCTGTAAGTTGTTCAATTAAGAACTAAATGTTAATGTGCATTTCACTGGCCTGAGAGATATGAATTACTAAAAGAAGCAGGAGGCTGAGACCAGAGAATCATGGTTCAAAGCCAGGCTGGGCACGAAAGTCTGTGAGACTCTTATCTCCCATTAACCACCAGAAAACTGGAAGTGGAGCTGTGGCTCAAAGTGATAGAATGCTAGCCTTGAGCAAAAGAACTCAAGGACAGCACCTAGGTCCTGAATCAAGCCCCACAACTAACAAAAGAAGAAAGTACAATAAATAAAATAAAAGGCAAGTTTAGAGAAAAACATCTAAAGAGATTTTTTTCCTACATCAAGTTATATATCACTCTGTAATCTGGATGTTTATAAAATGAATGTACTATGATCAGTAATTTAAATTCACTTAACAAAATGTATCCTTGAGGAAACTTCATGTTTATTGTGTTCATGTTATATAGCTGTCATCACTTTATTTGAAATATGAAAATATAAATGCATATAAATTATATAACAGGAGCACATATGAACTACATTAGAACTAATTACACATAAATATAATTTAAATCACTGAATTCTTATATTTGAGTCAGTTCATGTTTTATATGTTTTCCACATTAAAATTTTTTCTGGCTATAACATTGTTTATTTCTAATTGCTCCATATTTCTATTGAATATTTCCCATAATACTAAAGGTCTATGAAATTAAATATAACATCTGTTTTTGTCACTGATACATCCCCAGCTCCAGAACAGTACTTGTCTCATAGCATGCACTCAATAAATATTTGTGAAATTAAGGGTTCAAACCCATGACACAGAAAAAACATGGAGCTTTAGATTTGTCAACATTCTCTTAATTATATCTAATATTGAACCGATGTTTCGTGTTTATGGAATATCTACTATTTGCTAAATAAAAATGTGTACTTTCATATCTTGAAATGTTTCTACCTGAAAGCATGTTTACTTACCCATAATACTCTATACAAATTTTGCTGCTTCCCATGGTGCATTTTGCTTGGACACTCTAAAAAGAATTGGCTTAATCTAATTGAGAAATGAAAATCATAGGCACTATGGTGATTTGGATATGAATTAGAAGCTTGGTCCTAGTATGGTGTGTTGAAGTGGTGGGACTTTTTTAAAGGTAGGGCTTAGTGGAAGATTGCTGTGACATTGGAAGTGTCTTCTCAGACAGGATTAATGTAGTTTTCATCAGGACCCTGGTTAGTTCCTAAGGCTTCCGATTCTAAGAGAAAGAGGAAAGTCATATTTCCTGACTCTTTCTTGCTTCCTGTCATACCATATGATTGCTCTTGCACCTCCCCCTGCCATTGTGATGGCATCCTTCCTGAAACCTTCATCAGAAACTGAACAGAACGCTCCAGCCAATCTTGAACTATCAGCCTCCACAATTACAAGCTAAAGAAAACCTCTTTCCTATTAAAAAAGAATATCTAGCCTCAGATATTTTGCTATAACGAACAGCAAGAAAGCAGTCTAAGACAATAGGATATTCCTCAAACTTCACCACTTCCACCAGCATTAGGCCATCAATTATCACTCTATGCAACAAATGGTTTCCATTACCTCTGCTTCACTCTATTTGTTCTCATTTAGTCCTGTTTGGGGAATTAAAAAAAAAAGGAAACAAAAATCATACAACTTGAGATACATGAGAATATTGAATGAAATAGTGAACATCTTGAGCATTTTAAGAAATTAAGTTAAAATATGAAGTCATCTTTTATCTCTGAAGAAAGTGTTTTTTATTCCTTTCTTGCCCACATGGAAATGATTTTTTTAAGTACATGCTAGATATACAGACCTAAAGAATATATCTATATCTTCTGCTTTTATTCCATGGAGTCAGAGTAAGGTCTATTTACAAAAGAAATCAGCAGCTATGTGAATGCTTTCCATTTTAACCGCACTCTATGGTGCTATAAACCCTTTGATTGTTTTGTCTCCAGCTGAAATGTCTTAAACAAAAACAGAGTTTTCTAATTAATTCACTGGAGACTTATAAGGACATGCTAGAGATAATTTGCTCTTGTTTTGTCATTTAAAAATATTTAAACAAGAGATTTTTAGATAGGGAGTGATTGGGTCTTAATTGATTTTGGGGGAGGGCAGGGGGGGGTGTTGGTTGTGGGCCTGAACTCTGGGTCTGGGTGCTGTCCCTAAGCTCTTCAGCTCAAGACTAGCACTCTACCACTTGAGCCACAGCGCCACTTCTGGCTTTTTCTGCTAATGTGATGCTGAGGAATCGAACCCAGGAGCATGAATGCAAGGCAAGCACCCTATCACTGAGCCACCTTCCTGGCCCTCTTACTTGTTTTGTAAAGTTTTATTTTGGATTTTTTTTCCTGATAGCTATAGCTGAAATATTAAATCACTAAAAGGTAGGTTGGATATGGCTTTAACTAATTTTCCTTTATTAAATATCACATTCTAAGCTGGGAATGTGGCTTAGTAGTAGAGTGCTTACCTAGCATGCATGAGGCCCTGGGTTTAATTCTTCAGTACCACATAAACAGAAAAAGCTGGAAGTAGTGTTGTGGCTCAAGTGGAAGAGTGCTGAGTTCAAGCCCCAGGACTGGCAAAAAAAAAAGAAGATATATACATACATACACACACACACACACACACACACACACACACACACACACATCATATTCCACTTTCTGACGGCAGATACATAAAGCAGTTGAGAAAGCTTGCCAGTGTTCAGTGAGGGAAAGCTAACTTTTGACTAGTACTTGAATTTTCCACATATTTTAATTTTTTGGGGGGTGGGGTCGGGTCGTGGGGCCTGAACTCTGGGCCTGGGCGCTGTCCCTCAACTCTTCAGCTCAAGGCTAGCACTCTACCACTTGAGCCACAGCGCCACTTCCGCCTTTTTTCTTTTTGCTTATGTGGTGCTGAGGAATCAAACCCAGGGCCTCATGCATCCAAGGCAAGCACTCTACTACTGAGCCACCTTCCCAGCCCTTCCACATATTTTAAAGAGACCACATTTTAAGTTTTGCCTTTAAATTAGAAAAGATAGATGACTGAATATATGCTTTATACCAATAAATCTATCCAGTTTAGACATTTGCGAAGTTGGTCATCTATATCATATCACTTAAATTTATCATGATATCTTGGAAAAAAATTCTGGTCAGTACTGAATTTGAAAATCAAGGCTCTACAGCCCTAGAGAGGCTCTCAGCCCTTTTGGCTTTATATAGTTTTCAAATCAAGTCTTAATTTTATGCTCAGGCCAGACTGGACTGCAATCCTATGTATTCTTTGCACATAGCTGGAATCACAGGTGTATACCACCATGGCCAGCTTTTGTGTTGGTTGAGAGAGAGTTCTCAGTAACTTTTTACCAAGGCTGGACTCAAACATAAATTCTCCTAATCACCTTCTCCTGAGTAACTATGATTACAGATGTGGTCCACTGCACCCAAGCAAGGAAAGCATTTTTGGAAACCTAAGGTTAGATAATGAATTGAAGCTTCTTGGAAAAGTGTAAAATAACATGGAAATCTAAACTGTTAATGATGAGGCTATGCAAAATATGGAATTCCAATTGCAATTCTCCTAAATCCCCAGGTGGCAAGAAGAGTTTGAGGTGGCTCTGAAACATGACTTTATTCATAAGGATCCAGCATATTTGTTTGAGACTCATGAAAATTAATTGTATTCCAAGTTTAACATAATGTCATTAGTTACAAAAATGGCAATTCTATATTTTTAGGAAACAGAATCTTAGGCATGGCAAGAAAAGCATCAATTTTCTGGTCCCCAAATATTTTTGTCTTATTGGTATATGAGTATATATTTTCATAGATAAGAATACCACAATCATGTTCATATTTTAGTCCTCAAGTACCTTTTCAGTCAGACACTGTCGTTTCCATTATATAGATAGACCACCAAAGGTAAATAGATACAAGTGGGTTTGCTCCCCAAGAATCAAAACTGAGGCTTTATCTCCAAGTCCAGTATAGCTTCAAGTTCAAATGAAAATATTCTATTAGAAATAGCATACCTGAGTAGTGGTTCTCAATGCATGGCATGTGCTCCATGATTTCTGCATTTCATGATAATCTGTTAGGAGTTCAAATTCTCTGAGACCTACCCAGACCCTCTGGCCAGAAACTTTTGGGAATGGGGCCCAGGAATTTATTTTAGCAAGTCCTCCAGTAAAAAGCAAAAGGACCCTAAAGTTTGAAAACCCCAGTTGTATAGTCTCAGTTTTCTCTGGCTCAATTAAAATGTCTTATTCAGTGCAATCCCACAATACTATTCGGTTTGAGAAATGATTTATTAGGTACATAAAAAGATGCAACATTCATCTGGACACTGACCACACAGCCATCACAGTAAGTAAGTAGATGGGTCTCAGCACTGAGCACTGAGGCATGGAGAGGTCAGGTCATCCAAGGTGGAGGTAGTCAGGTTTGAGAACTTAAACACGTAAGAACTGCCTGTGTCAGAGGACCTTGTGCATTGAACAAATACTGCTCAAGGGCACGCTGCCCAGTGCTGAGAGAAATACACAAAGACATACCTGGGTTGACTCTCAGCCAGTTGACTAACGAAAACTAACTTCCATTGTGGAGGGGAAGGGGAAGGCACATTGTTTCTGCAAGCCAAATATAAGTCTGTGACCTTACAAATTAAAATATTTCCTTCAATTTTCTACTTTCCTGAACTAATCTTCTGCCTCAGGCTTACATGGACCTAAAGAAAAAAATGCAGCAAGATGATTATGTTGCAAACATTTATGAAGTAGGTAGCAACATATAAAGAATCTAATGGATTTTTTTTCCATGCTATTCATCCCCTCCACCAACCCCTTGCTACCAGCAGTGCTATATTTTTTTATTTCATTGTTGCCAAGTGTTAGTACTCCATAATCTTCATGTTCCAGAAAAAAAAATTGTTTAACCTAGGAGAGCAAAGGCAGAAACACTTCCTGGGTGGGGAGTGGGGGGAGTGGGGAGGTATTTATTCATATGGAATAGGGCCATAAATAGCAAGGGAGAACATCTTTACTAGCCCCCTACTGTTATCCTTATTTGAATTTTACCTAGATAACTACCACAATAATCCTTTTAAAAACCTCAGATAAAGGATGTAGGGTAAATAAAAGTCATACGATGTTGGTGGAAATGTAAACTAGTGCAACCACTACGGCCATCAGTACGGAGATTCTTCAGAAAATGAAAATATATACCTATCTTATAACTCCACTTTACTACTACACTTGTCCATGTATCTGCGGAAGTATGAATTGATATACGAGAGTGATACCTACATACCCATGTTTATTGAAGTTCTGGTCATAATAACCAATGTGGAATCTGGTGAGGTGCAAAACAATTGATTAATGGATAAAGAAAATGATACATGTATAGCATGAAATATTACTCAGTTACAGAGAAAAATTAAATCATTATTTGCGGGGAACTGGAGGTCATCATGTTGAACAAGATAAGCCAAATTCAAAAAGCTAAATGCATACTTTTGCTTATTTCTAGAGTATATACCTAAAATGTATACATCCATATACAGATAGGTAATTTATACACACATAGATAGATGTCTATATATATGATTTACATATGCATATGTATAACATAATTATGACTGTGGAGCTATGTAAAAGATGAGTGGGAGAGGAAAAGAGAAACATGAAGAATGAATAATAACAGAATACCTTGAGTTTATTTATGAAGATGCACAAGGAAATTCATTTAAAGCCGAAGAACAAGCTAGGTGCTGGTGAGTCACACCTGTAATCCTAGCAACTCAAGAGGCTGAGATCTGAGGATCACAGTTCAGAGCCAGTCCAGGCAGGGTCAAGATTCATATCTCCACTTAGTCACAGAAAAAGCCAGAAGTGGCCCAGTGGCTCAAGTAGTAAAGTGCTAGTCTTGAGCAAAAAGAGCCCAGGAACAGCTCCCAGGCCCAAAGTTTTCAAGCCCCAGGACTGAAAGGAGGAGGAGGAGGAAGGGGAGGAGGAGAAAGCTAGCTGAAAAACAGTAGAGGATAAAGGAGATGGAGAAAAAGTCTAGTCTTACTAAAATTTATATAATACATGGGAAATACTATGGTGAAACTCCTTTTTACAAGTAGCATATGCTAAAATACACACACACATATGGCAGGAAAGTAAATAAGTTTTGTTGGGGGCAGATACAAGCAGGAGCAAGGAAGACAGAGAGAATAAAAGAAGAATATTATCAAACACCCTTACATATATGTACATGTGAAAATATAACAATGAAACACACTTAACTTGTTTTAATGAGTGAGAGAGATGAGAATGGCGGAGAGGGTGAGTTTGATGAGGTACATAAAATTCATCTGTGGAAATGTCATAATAAAACTCCTTGCCCATTGATGGTATGCTAATGAAAGATTTTTTTAATCATTAAATAAACTTCTCATCAAACTTAAAACTGTATCATGTCTTCAAGCCCTGTGGGAACCGTCTAGGGTTCTCTCTCATTCTCCCCTCAGTCAATGCTGTTCCTTTAATGAGTCAAGCTGTTGGCAGTTTTTCTTTCCTCTTGCTCAGTACTCTTCTCAGATATTTACAAGATTTACTCTTTAACTTGACTCTGGATCGATTCAAATACCTCCTCTTCAAAGAGACCATCCCTGAACAACCTTTAAAATAAAACTTTCACATGGGATTGGGGGGAGAGATAGAAGGGGTGACAGTGATCAAGATTTATTGTACCCATAAACTGACCTATGAAGTTAAAACCCCTTTGTTCAACTCTTTAAGGATAATTTCTAAAAGAATAGCTTAAAAATATTTTAAGTAAAATAAAAATTTTACCCTATTACCATCTATCCCAAACCTATGATTTGCTTGTTATTCAAAGGACTTTTCCTTGGCATATGTTATACATTCATTTCCTTTTCATTATCTGCATTCTTCCATGGGAATTTAAGCTCCCCAAGAGCCATTGCTTTGCCTGATGCTCTACTGTTTCTCTGACACCTGGGACAGCGCCTGTTAACTTGTGGTCAACTGTTGTTAATTTTATTTAACATCTTTCTTCATTTGTTTTAACACATAGTATGCTGCAGAACAATCAGCTAAGACAGGTACCCACAGAAGCGCTACAGAACTTACGAAGCCTTCAATCACTGTAAGTATAGCAATAATTGCAAAAACATAGTCAAATCCAATTCAGGAAGATCTCTGAGATGTACCTTTGACTGCTTTTCTTTGATGTGTGATAAGGGTGATATCTAAATAGTCAGTGAGAGTCCATGAGTTCAGTAATGCCTCATATTCTCCTAAAACACTGTGAGTGTGGAGGCCCAGTATGTGAGTTCAGAGTTCTAAGGCAACTATTTCATTATAACACCTTCAATGAAAAACCTCATGTCTCAGGATAAATCATCTACTTCACAGTCTTGCCTTTCATTCCCCTTCATACTCTTGTTTTGAATTCAATCAGAAATACTACTTTCTTTCTTAAGATAGAAAATTAGATGGCCCAATCTAGACATGTTAATGTCTTCCATTTCTTTATCTTTAAAACAGTTTGAGCTGCTTTTGAGAAGAAAATTTAGGGGTTTTTTTCCTGCATTCTAGCAGTTAGCAATTGGAAAATGAAATTTAAATAATAATACCCTTTTAAAAAGCATCAGAAATGAAAAGATTGGCCAAATGTGTTGGTTCATGCATGTTATATCTCAGCTATTCATGTGGCACAGAACCAGAGCATCTTGGTTCTAGACTAACTGGAGCAAAAAGTTTGATAAGACTTTATCTCAACCAACTAACGTTAAGCATGGTGGGGTGTGCTTGTCATTGTAGCTTTATGAAAAGCATAAATAGAAGAATCATAGCCCAGACCAGCCCAGGCTTAAGCATGAGACTCTGTCTGAAAAACAAATAAGGCTAAATGGGTCAAGGCAGTGATTCAAGTAGTAGTGTGCTTGCTAACCCAGGAAGTACAAGGCCTTGAGTTCATACTTCAGGATTGAAAACTACTTTTTAAGAATAAAAATATTTAGAATAATCACAGTCCAACAAAATGAACACCAAGAACTGGTACTTGAAAAGTGTAGGAGAAGGTCAAAGGGAGGGAGCTAGAGAATGAAGTGAGGAAAGAGAAAGAGGAGAATGTAGTAGTGATATTCAATGCATATCCTATGAAATTAAGAATAATTGGGGGGTTGGTTTAGGAAGGAAGAGGGTAATGGTGAAATCAGTGACACAAAGCAAGATACATTGTATTGATAAATTGACTTGTTGAATGGTAGCTACTTTGTACAACTACTTAAAGATAATAAAAATATATTTTTAAAAACTCAAAAAATAGAGTTAAATAAAAAAGACATATGTGTTCCATACACTGTCAAACATGCCAATACAAATTCAAAAAATCAAAATGAATTGTTAAAAAACAAAACAAAAATTGTGTTCTTGCCTAGGACAACAATATTCATAAGATTACATTTTCCTTAAATCTATCCATAGATTCAATTTAACTCCAATCAAAATCCTGGCAGGTATGGCAGAATTTAGCAAGGTGATTTGGAAGTTTATATAGAAGCATGAATAACCTAGAATAGCCAAAAATAACTATGAAAAAATGAAGCAAAACTGGAGGACTTAGGGTATTTGCTTTCAAGACTTAGATAATCACCCTTTTAACAACACACACACACACACACACACAAACGTTCTCAGTGGGATTGGTGTCTCTACTCCAAATCTACACTTTTTCCATCAGGCGTTTCCCCCTCTCCTATGTACTGAGTTAAAAAAAAATCACAGAGCCAGATGCTGGTGGCTCATGCCTGTAATCCTAGCTACTCAGGATGCTCCATGAGACTCTTATCTCCAGTAACCAACAGAAAACCAGAAGTGGTGCTGTGGCTCGAGTGGTAGCATGCCTGTCTTGAGCTGAAGAACCCAGGGCCAGAGTTCAAGCCCCATGACTGACCAAACAAACAAACAAACAAACAAATCACAGAATAAATACAAATAAGTATTCTTCACTCAAAAGAACATTTTTACCAGCTAGATGTTTTGGAACTTGGATTGTAAGCAACTGTTTTCCATGATTTCTAGGCAAGTATATGGCACCACTGTTTCATAAATCATCCACTCATCAGAATAGATGCTTGCAATACATTGTATGATTTCTGATACATAGATGTGTAATGTAGTCTTTAATTTCACGTTCTCCAGAATACCTCACCTATGGTACTGCTTTCTGATCTTAAATAAAGGAGGAAAATAAATGCACAAAAGGGCAAATGAACATTGCAGTCTATCGTTGAAAACATTCATAAGAAATCCATTGGTTAATAATTACATATTGTTTGCTTAATGCCTTTTTACTGAGGTGACACCAGAGAAAAGGAGAACGTGAGATTTGGAGATACTTTCATCCTTTGATCTTTTTTCTTTCTTTCTCTCTTTCTTCGAATGAAAGAAAATCTGGGCTTGAGATCATTTGGAGCATTTTACTTACTCCAGTCAAACAAAGTGACTTCCTAGGTTTTCAGCAGCCTATAGATAAACATGCCCACAAAGGCCCCTTTGTGGCATGGGATGGGCCTGTCGCATTTCCTTAATGACAGGACACTATGGCTCCTCTTTTGTTGCTCAATCCTCTACCTGAAGGAAAGAAGCAGCAGCTGAAAAGCAAAAGCAGACTCTGCTCGGACTGTCTATACGGGCACAGGGATCTGATGGCTAAATTGAAATCAAGATAATGACGGTGCCCAATAGGAACTTTAAACAGCTGCAAGGCAGCAGCAGATAGAAGGATAAGGGTTGGTAACTAAAAGCCCCTATCGGCTGAAAGAAGATCACAAACAGAAGTGAACTCTTTGAGAAAGAGAAAACCATGAATCTTTTGTTCACTTGAACTGGGTGGTGCCTCTCGATACAGGGGTCAGATTTAGTTTCTTGCCATCTAGATATTCGCTGTTCACCAGGTGTCCCTGGGTGTCTGGTTCACGAAAAAAGAGAACTTATGTGTTGAATCCTTATAAATACATTATATGTATGTATGTATGTATGTATGTGTGTGTGTGTGTGTGTTGTGTGTGTGGTGTGGTGTATGTGTATGTGTGTGTATGTTCCTTGTGAAAAGGTCAAGGGAGAATATTTGAGGATGACATTTGCTGTGTCTAATAAGAAGCATCTAGGCAGATACTTGGGCAGCAGTTCACAGTGCACTGTCTTAGCTGAGTGATGGAATGTTGATCTTGGTGCCTTGTGCTCCAAGCACAGATAACCATTGTGCAGAATGAGGCACTGGCAAAAGCGTTGTGCTGAACTGCCACTTTTTCACACTCATATTTTTTGTGATGCTTTGACACAAAAAAATAAAATCTGTCAGAAAGCATGTTAAACATAGGCTGAACAACCAACTCCATGGACCATATTGTTCCCACAGAAGGTGCCCTTGTCTCAAGCACATCAAACCAGCTTTTAGCTGGGCAGGGCTGGGGGACATGGGAGAGTAAACCCCTTTACAGTTTTACTGTTATCCTGGGCTTAAAGCCTTCCATTGTATTTCTCCTGTTCCCTTTAAGTGGTTCCAAAGTGAAAACATTCGTGTTGAGTTTAATAGTCTTTGCAAACCTGCAGACTTTATCCATTCTCCATTCATGTTCCAAGCCATTAGCCCAGAACACAAAGGCATTAGCTTTTTGCTGCTTCTGAATCATTAAGAGTAATGACATGACAAGGGTTTGAGACTCAGTTTCCTCCGCGCTGCCAAGACCCGGGAGGCCTCCATTCAGCCACCATTCCCTTTTTGGCTAAGAGTCAGCCCTTAGAGAGGGCTACATGGTTCCTTCACTTTTTTCCTCTCTCTTGAATTCTCTCTCTTGAATCCTTATTTTCTAATGCTTTGTTTCATTGTATTATACATTTGCTCTCTAAGAAGTACCCCATACCAGCCAGGTTCTTTTAAGCTCATCATCTCTGTGTATACCTAGCCTTGTAACCTCCAGTGGAGCTTCTGTGTTAGCGTCAAGTAAACATCTGGAGAGGCCTAAAGCCGAGGCTGAACCCCAGAACAATTAAATCTCAGGCTATTTTCAAACTAGTATTCCTGTATCAGTAAATGTTTCTTAAAGTGTAGATTAGGAAATCAGGCACCCTACCGGGTTCCTTCTGATGGTCTGCAAACTGTTTGACAATTCTTTTTAAACTTGAAATAACAACAAAATCCATACTTTGCAGCCTAGCAGGAGCTAATATTGCTCTTGGGCTATAAATGTCAGGCCTTGTGTTTAATTGAAACAGTACACATCTGCCTCTTAATTCTACTGACAATCTCGGATTGATAAAGTTAAGAGACCATATGGTAGACTACCGGGCGATTCAGATGTGGTCCACAGACCACCTGAGCTATGCCAAGTTCCAACATGTTCTTACTCAATTAAGAGTCTTCATTTTAATCAAACCTTACATGATTCATATGCAAAAACACTTCAGAAATGGACATTTTCAGTATTCTGTGGCACTGACCAACTGGCTTACAAATTTAAAAAAAATCTATTGAAATAGGTCATTTGAACTCTCTCCCCCCCCCCC